CCTTATATAAGTGAGATTTTCACCAACAAAAAGCTTTTCCCTTGTAATAGTCTCTCATATTTAGAATGACAAAAAAAAGGTGTACATAGATGAAAATTTTTTATCACTATAAATACATTACTTTATAATGTTGGGACTAAGGATTTTTTAGCACTAAATCGATGCAAGATGGAAGAGATCTGCAAATTAAGTTAAATGAGGAAGGTAAGCTAGTGAGGTGGAGGTGGAGGCGCTCTATGTGTAACCAATGGACTAATGGGTCATCATAATTAGGAATAAATAGCGTTAACAAAGGAATAATTTTTGTTGATAGTAATAAATAAGGCCATTATTATCATTGTTATTATTATTATTATTAAAAAAAGTTAGTAAACTTAAGAATATTTTTTTTGTAAAAGATATTAAATGAGTCAATCTGTCAACCCACGGGTTAACCTTCTTGTATTCCATAACTTACTTGGGTCAAGCTTATGAGTTACCAACATGTCACAAGTTGTAATATGTAAATCCTAATTCATTTTACGGATTAGGCTTAGATTGGGTTTACGAATCAAGTTGATTTTACCTGGCCTATTTAGAACATTTTGAAAAACCTTTTAAATAAAATATTTTTAACTGTTTGATAAGTTAAGAACAATCTTTAAAATTTTTAAAATATTAGTTAATTAAAGATTAAAAATTAATAATTTCTTTTATAAAGAAACAGTTAAATACCATCTACATTTAATTAAATCGCAATATAATCTCTTAATTACTAATGAATATGAAATAAATGGAAAAAAGAGTTAGGTAATTAACTTCAATTACGCTTAATTAAATGAAAAAAAAAATATGATAACCAAAAAGAGGGAAAAACTCCAATCGAAGAAGACAATCTCCATATTAGGAATTCCCCTAAGTTCCTATCCCTCCCAAATCTATTATTTTCTCTAAGTACTCCAACCACCCCATTCCTTGATCTTCAATTCTTTTCACCAAATTTTATGGGAGGACAAAAATATATATATATGAAAAAAAGAGAGAGAATTGTAACTTTTTAGGAATTCTTGGTCTTCAAAATTGAACCCAGAATCCTCTTTGTTTTCCACCACTACATAGAACACAGTCTAATTGGGGAACCAGACCACCTCCAACGATCATCATCTCCAATATCCCTAATCCTTGACTTCTCTTCTCCCTTCCTTAGGTTATCTACAAACTCAAAAAAAGTAACAAAGATTATTGTCTTTGAAACAAAATTGCCAACTCAGAATAAGACTAATATACATAACATCAACTTCCTCAACTCTGGTCTTAATTCCTCATCCTAATCATCAACCTCTAGAAATCTCAATATGGTAGTCAAAAACGCACACATCAAAGTCATAGTTAATGCCAAAAGATCACATTAGCCATTCCATTTATGGAAAATCAAATCCCTCAACCTAAACAAATGGTTTGCTTGAGAAAAAACAACTTATGGAAAAATTACTTGAAAGATGTTTTACAAAAAGTGTATATAATATTTTCTATTAATTGAATTAATTTTTTATTGATTAATTTTTTAATTACCAAACATGAAAAAATGAAAAAAATAATTTTTAAAAACCATTTTTCAATGAACCAAACAAACCCTAAGTTAAAATTATTTAATAAGCCCTTTATAAAAAATGTGTAATTATAATAGCAATAAAGATTTATAATATGTCAATACTAGTTCATTTGAATCAATCTATGGATCAAGTGGCAAGTTATTATAATAGTAATATTATAGTTATAATATCATATAATACTGTAAACTGATTAAGAGAATGAAGATTTCTATAATATAGCATTTATAAGATATGGTTAAAAGTTCAATGCCTAGTTAAAAAAAAAAAAAAAGTCAAATAAATGTTATATATAGGCAATGGACAAAATTTATAATGTTTATTTTTCATTTTCCATCCTTTAAAAAAAACTTCACCATGTTAACCTTACCTAGTAGACTTTATAATTTTAAATATTTGAAAGAAACAAGCAATACCAAACTACAAAATTATAATTCCAGTTAAAAATATCATGAGTTCCAACTTAGGGATACCTATGTGCTTCTTCTTACCATATTTCTTTACTAAGCTTGCCTTCAAAACATCTTATGAATATATTAAATACTTAAAAGAAACAAACAACACTAAGCTAAAATGTTACAATTCCAATTGGAAAAATCATCTGTTCCAATTTAAAGATAGTTCTATACTTCTTCCTATCATATGTCTTCATTAAGCTTACGAAAACATCTTCCTATTTATCTCTTTTAATGGGTATGGTTCTTTTAGTGTATTAGTATATTTACCATTTAAATGCCATAATTAAGAAATAGGGTTTGTTCTTTCCTTAGGTTTGTTCTTTCCTTATGGTTGCTCTCTATCTTTCTTCATTTTTTAAGTTTTACCAACCATGATAAGAACTTTTAACCAAACAAGCAATAGTTTCCACATATCAAGCAACTATAAAAAAACAAAGTAGGTAAAAAAAAGTTCAAAATATAATCCATAGTTTGCTCTACACAAAACAAAAATTCATGTAACCATTCTAAATTAGGACTCTAAAGAGTTAAAATTAAATCTATCATTTTAAATGCAAATGAAAACATAAAGAAGGCAATAATCAATAATTGAACATGGTAGCAAAACTTGGTCTCTTTAGTGATAGGAATCAAGATGACCCCACATGTACCACGTCAAGAGATCCATTACACATTCCAAGAGGTCCAGTCACAAAAGCTAGAGTTAGGAAGATGCGAGAAGCTTTAAATGGCCTTATTAAGCAAATCTGGGTTGATAACAACATGCAACAAGTAAATCGAAACTTGGATGATTATCAAGGTATGGTAAACATCATTCAGATTTAAGAGAAGCTTAATTGAGGTCATTTATGCTAAATTACACAGTTTGCGTCAAAATCCCGCAATTCTATCGCAATTTATAACAAACTAATATTTCATGTTACTTTAGGTTGCTTTCAGTGATTTTCACTTTTTTTGTATTATTTTGGGCTGAACATTCATTTGTTTGAGGGTCTAATTCGTGATTATTAGGATTGGGGTTTAGGGTGTTAGTTTCCTATTCTGATTAGAATTACTTTTCTCTATTTAAAGGGCTTGTAACCCTAATTGGGGGGAGCTATTGAATCTAAGTTTTGAGAGACTTTTCTCTTTGGTTCGTTTCATAATTTTACAAAACTTATTAAAATTATTTTTGTGGCGTTCTAATCTGACTTATCATTCTTGTTCTTCATCGTTCGAAGGTGTGGCGTCAACCAACTTTATACCTCTGGTTCTTGTTGCACCATAGACAAAGGGTCAAAGTTTGTACCTTTGGTTCTTGTTGCGACATAAATAACGGGTCAAGATCCTATTATAAACCTAATTTAACTTTCCTAGAGTTTAGAAATCCCTTGTCTATTGTGGATTTCATTATTCTCTTTGGGGTTCTCATCATTTAGTGACATTAACGATAATGCTAACAACCATAAAAGATTCATGCTAATTCTTTATTGCAAAGGTAATCAGAGAACTACTTAAGTCACTCAATAAAAAGAACAAACTAGAAAAGAAAAAATTATTTTATTGATAGATGATAATCTATTCAATTTATCTACCTACCAAAACTTTTCTAATAATTGACATACCATTAATGTTTAAAATCCAAATAAATGCAATTAACAAGAACAATAAAAAGTTATTAGCTAATTCCTTGCAACAAACATCAATCTTTTAATCTAACAATGACAGATTAGGTGAAAGATATTTGACCTTGGACATTTGGAAGCTACAAAATACGTGATTAATCTATAACAGGCAAGAAAAAAAAATCAATTGAAGGCAAATTCAAAAACCATAAAAAAAAAAAAAAAAAAAATTCAACAACAACCTTAAATTATAAAAGACAAAGGTGTCTCACATACCAAATTTGGATTGGCGTTAGTGGGAAATACCAAAACACTTCTATACAATTTCAATACAAAGACACAAAGGAAGTTAGAGAGTTATTTTGGTTACATGACACTAAATAAAATGGTTATTTAGAACAATTCTATTCCAAAAAGCAAAAAAAGTTAATATGAAATAATTTTATATAATCAAAATTGTACAAATTAAAAGTTTCTGAAAATGAACAGCACACTAGTTACATACACATAGTAGAATTCATTGGAAAGATATTATAGATCTAGCAATGAATAAAGAACAACTAACCTATCATCAAAAGATACTTACCAATAAATTAACCTCAACATCTACCAATCTAAGGAGGATATAGAAATACCATTTTGCATGAACAAATTTTGAAAAGAAAGAAATCAATCTCTCAAAAGTAAATATGAAATGGTTTTTAAAGAGAAGCAAAATTAATGGATGAAACAAAGAATCAATCGCTCTAGTCCAATGAGGTGTTTGTTTCAATTTTTTGTAAAGAGTTTCAGGCTTTAATCAAACAAATTAAATATTTTAAATTATAAATAATAATTATTAGTCATTAATATCAATTATCAAATATTAATTATCAATTATTAATTATCAATTATATTTAAATAGTTAATCAAAATAATCCTTTATTTAGTAAGAAAAAATCTTAATTAATAAAAAGGTTTTTCTATTATATACTTTAAGAGCACATGATAAAAAAGTAATAAATATATATTTTTTTAATTAATTTCTATTAAAAGTGTAAATGTTAATTCATCTTTAATCAATTAATTAATTAAAATCATTTACATATTAATACATTGAAATATATATCAATTTTTATATTTTTTTATGTGAATTAATTATAAATTATATATTTATTATACTTTTAAAATTATAAAAGTTTATATGCTTATTTATACCAATTCTCGAAGTCTGGTCAACAAGGCAACTTTGTTTCCTGAAACCTAACAAACTCGCGCACTCGGACCGTGCGCTTCAGTTGTACAGGGAAACTAACATAGCCCAGTTTCTCTAAGCTCATTAAGAGCAGACCTTGAGAAATTTTAGTGCTGTTCAAAAAATTAAATAAATAAATAAATAACCGTTGACGATACAGAGAGTCTCAGTTCGCCATGGAAGCGTCGCAGCAGCTCGTAATCGAAGAATGGAACGGCTCCTCTTCCACCAAGCTTTTCAAGACTGCCACCATCACTGTCTCTCCAGCTCTCTCCGTCCACAGGTCTTTCAATTGCTCAAATTCATTCTTTTATCTCAATTTCTGAACTGCACTTAGACTCTTTCTTTCTAAACTGATGGATAGATCCGGCAGCGGTTTCAACCATGTTTGGAGACGATTCCTCGATGCATTTGTACCTGAGGCAAGCTTGCTTTTGTTCAGATTTCCTTTATTTTCTTCCATTGAATTTTATTTATCGCATCTCCGATGCAGGGTTTTCCGAGAAGTGTCACTCCGGATTATGTCCCTTTTCAAGTGTGGGACTCTTTACAGGTAAACCGGGAATTCTGTTGTGCTTAAATTGGTATCTCTTTATGTCAAAAATTTTCATGCTTTGCTTCTAATAATATGCTTACAGGGACTTTCAACATATATAAGAACCATGCTCTCTACTCAAGTAAGGATATTCACTCTTTATCATCTGTATATAAACCTTATTTCTTGGCCATTTCTGTTGATTGACCTTCTCCTTAGGCTCTTTTGAGTGCTATTGGGGTTGGTGAGAAGTCAGCTACGGTCATTGGTGCCACATTTCAGGTAAAATTGACTTTCACTGCTAATTTTTGCATTACCTCTATATATATATATATATACATATATTTTATATTAAAAGTTTACTCCCCGTTCTATGAAGTTGGACTGCAGTGTAATCTTGACTGCTTTGAACCATGCTTTTTTCATGCTAATGGCAACTTCTACTTGTAATTTCTTGTAGTGGTTCTTGAGAGATCTAACAGGTATGATTGGAGGAATCTTATTCACATTTCATCAGGTATGGGGTTCCAGACCTTAATAAAAATTCCCATGTATGGTGTATATACTAATGATGCTCAGGATGTTTAATATGAATCGTTGTAGGAAGATGGGAGATTTGCTATCTGTTAAAATACCTAGCATGAAAATTTTTTTAGGCTTTGTCTGAAAATAAACGGATGTGTAAATAAATAAATAAATGACGAGTGGCTGATTATATTGGAATAATGCAGAAAATTTAGTTCACTTTATTACCGAACTTTGTTTTTGTAAGTTCATGTGAATATAATGACTTATTCCCTTTGTCTTTAGGGCTCAAATCTTGATAGCAATGCCAAAATGTGGCGTTTGGTAGCAGATCTCATGAATGATTTAGGTATGTCAATATATTATTGTTGGTCTCTCTCTCCCTCCCTCTCTGCAGCACAGGAGAGCACACTCAGATAACGGTAGGCACATAGGTGCAGGCCATAGTCATTGTATGGCTTTTACTCTAGATTGAAGTGTAAGTCCTTTGTGGCTTATCCATGGATGAAACATATATCTAAAATATTTTCTAACTGACCAATCTAATTTTAAAAATTTTAAACTAATGAATTTGAATTCAAAAATTAAACACCTCAAGCAGCAATTTAAAACCATCAAGGAACATGAAAGAAATGTAGAAATTAAAAGAGTTAGGGAAGAGAAGATCAAAAGCTTGATTTATATAGGTTCAGCTATATCTACATCCTCTCAAAATGGTTTCTAACTTATATCTGCCTTGAACAAAATTTAATAATGAACTTTTGAGATCCTCAATCTTCTTTTTAAGATAATTTTTTTTGTTTTTTTTGGTCCATATTTTTTTAAGCTCAGTTATTTCCTTTTAACACTCAATTTTCAAATTTGCCTGTACTTCTTCAAAAGACAACTTCAGTTCATTTATTTCTTCTCATAAGTTCATGTTTTCACACATTTTTCATTGTCCAAGGATTTTTCTATGTCAATCTTTTCATTAATGAGAGATGTAACTAACTTTTTCAAATATGCATTCTTTGCACTAATCTTCTTAGACTCGGTGTATAACTCATCAAATGAATTTTGTAAACCTCAATAACTAAGAGGATCATCAAAGCTAGAATTACAACGTGCATCTTCATGGTCTTTATAAAAATTAGCCTTTAAGTGCAGGTATGCTTCTTCTTCATCACTTGATTCTCCACTTATTCTTTCTTCTTTTCTTCTAATATTTCTTGAATTTGCTTAAGAGAACATTTTTGTCTTAACAATCTTTGCTTTCATAATTGTTATTTTCATCTATCAATGATTTGAATATGTTTGTTCTTCTAGACTCTCATCATCACTATCTTCATTTTGCATTCTAATCTCACAAGTGAAGATCTTTCCTTCAAGAAACAAGGCTTTTCTCATTTTGTCTTGATGTAATCCTTACCAACATTCATAGACTCATTAGTAAGCTCTGTAAATCATGTAAAGAAATCCTCAATAGTTTCAAAGTTCAACATCTTTAACATTTCAAATTCATGTAACTAACATGTTCATTTTTGTTTTCCTAACTTGATTGGTACCCTCCAAAATTTCATTTACACTAGAACATGCACTATTCTACCAAACTCATTATCATCCAACGCACAAGATAAAACATTAATAGCCATTCCATTCATCTTCAATTTCCTTTTATCTAAATCCTTAAGTTGATCTTTCTTTTAGGTACAAAAGGTCCATTTTCAATAATATTTACATATCTAAATAATCAAATCTCCATCCAAATTTTAATGTGATTTTTCTAATACACATAACATAATTGGACCCACTAAGTAAATTAAGGTCAACTAGTGGTGGAATGGGTCTTTGTGAAGCCATAGATCTTAAGCTCTAGATCATTAAATCTAAAAAAATTTGAACCCCAAGCTCTGATACTAATTGTAAGTCCTACTTGACTTACACAATAACAGGTTCTAAGTGTTCTTTGCAAACTTTTAATCAAATCAATTCCAATCAATATGCAAATCACAATTCAGTAGTTAAACGACTAAACCACTCAAATAAGTCAAGGAATTAAAGTGCCAACTCAATAAATCAAGTTAAACAAATGTGTTGAGTTATAGAGGTTTGGCTATGCCTATGTCCTCTCCTTGAGCTTTCTTGCTTGAGAGTTTTATTAACTAACTTCAAGCTAATCCTCTTGCTTTTGGGTTCAAGAGAAAACATTTCCTACCAGGGCTTGTTTGGTTAACACGAACTGGGAAGGAATTTCCTAAAAGCCATGAGCTAACTTGATCCCATAAAAAGAGGTTTTGGGTTATAGTTGATTATAAAGTGGTATAGTCGATTATATGCACCAGAATCTTTTCTTCATGGATAACTCCATTATAATTGACTATACCCTTGAACCCAGAATCTTTTCTTTTAGGACCAAGCCAGCTCATGGCTCCTTGGGAAATTTCTTCCAGATTCCTTGCTAACCGAACATCCCCCTAGTTTCTGGGCACTAGAGAACTATTTACACCATTATCTTCTGGGTGCTAGAGAACCCTATACATGTAGCTAGTAGTTTTTGAAAAAAATCCCCAAAATCTCTTAAATAAGGGGTACAATTTTAGTTCTCAAGAATGCTTCTAAAAAGGCTGATATATGATCTAAATCTGATCAAATTCGTGACTTGAAGGATGAAGAAGGCTTCTCTTAATTTCTTGTTCACAATCCACAGTTTAAACCTTTAAGTCTTCTCCTTCTAAGTCTTTGATTGCTCCTCTTTGATGCTTCCTTTTAGATATTCTATACAACCACCCAAGTTTAGCAAATATCCTTCAATTTCTCTTCCATTCCCCATTATAGACTTTAACTAAGTGGCCTTGGAAATAGAGAACTGCTTACTTTCACATTTTGATTAATTGATGCAATCTTCAAGGGAGTTTGCTCTATTTTGAATATTTTGAATCTTTCTTGTTTGATGCGCAGGGGAGTAGAATTCATTGAGATTCAACTCCTATGCCAAAGCCTCCATTTCTGAGCTGTGGTGCTTTTAATGGTCTGATTCAAATCCTTGGGGAGGATCCAAATCCTTCATCTCACATTGCAATTCCTGCACACTTAAACACAAGTTTCTCAAATACTAAATAGCATGATTTTTATTGTTATCGAAATCAAACCTAAAAGCTAAAATGAAGCTTCTAGTTTCGTTGGCCAATGCTTCTAAATCCCAAGTCAGAGTTAGAAATCTATATAAAACCTAATGCTGTTAAAAATTTGCACCCATATGATTTTGAATTGGGGATATGTATATCATACTTCTGAGAGGACCTCGATATTAATCTTCAGTCAGCTCTAACTGTATTGCATTCATTGAGTTTAAACATGTGCCTCATGTATCCTTGGTTTGAAGCATAAACATTTTTCTTTTTTTGGAGGGGGGGTTATGATTTAGCTTTTAACAATCATCTTTGGGTTATTTAGGTATTTGATAAATATAGGACATATAAACCTGGTGTTAAGAATAAAAAGTAAAAAAAAGATGAAATTATGAGGCAAGCTTCATCTTCTGCCTCTGTAGCCTGGTTATTTCAAGAACTTAGTGCGCGACACAAATGTTTTGGTGATAAAACTAAATAAGGGTGTGAAGGATACAAATTCCAACTTGATCATGATGGTGTTTATTCAATGTTTTAGGCTTTAAGGATTAAGTTGATAATGGAACTTGGAGTTTGGATGCTGCTTTAGTTTTCTTTGTGTGCTACCATGCTTGGGCCATGTTGCATTTACTTGTTTTTTGATTTGTTGTGTGCTTATTATATTTTTGTTTTGACATTTGTGGTCCATTTAGTATTCAAATATTTAACTTTTAATGATTTGTTGTTGAATATTGTAAGTTGTAAGTTAACAAATGTGCTCCTCACATTCATCAAGCATGCACCTGTGCCTTGTGCCTAGGCTCCAGCTACCTTTAGCACTTTAGTATTCATTGTGCTTTTAAAAACCAATGTTGTGTTTACTTTGGTTTGCTTGTGGTGTCATAACTTCTCCATTCTTGAAAACTTAAAAATGACAAGTCCTTCTGTATTTATTGCAGGAATGTTGATGGACCTTCTTTCTCCCTTGTTTCCTTCAGCCTTTCTTTTCATTGTTTGCTTGGGGAGCTTATCAAGATCATTCAGTATGTTTCTAAAATTTCTTGATTCAGATATTATACTTACAAAGCCTTCTGAGCAATCTACATATCAGTTCTTTTTGCTTAATAATATGTATAAAAAGATTTCATGTATGTTGTGGAATATGGTTATCAATACCACACACTCACAACCTAACCCTGTACACTCCTACAGTAGAGGTTTCTTTCCTTCTCCTTCTTTCATAGGAGCTATATAATAATTTCTCTGATGGTGGATTGATCTCAATATTTTGTTTTCTTTCTCCACTTTGTTCTTTTGATAAGCTGGTGTTGCCAGCGGAGCAACCAGAGCTGCTCTGACACAACATTTTGCCCTTGAAAATAATGCAGCAGATATATCTGCCAAGGTATCTTGAAAATGATTCTAATATTTGGGTGAGAACTAAAGAAGTACTACCATATGCATTATTGCTTGAATTGGCTACTGACTGTTTCTAAATGCTGACAGGAAGGAAGCCAAGAAACAGTGGCGACAATGCTTGGCATGGCAGTAGGAATGCTTTTTGCTCGTGTTACAATGGAAAATCCACTAGCCATTTGGCTTACCTTTCTATCTCTTACCATGTTCCATATGTATGGTA